TTAAGGTATTCAGACTGTGAGAAGGCTCTATTGACCACTGTGTGGGCTGTTTACTCATGAGGGAGTTAACATTGCAGACAGAATGGGGACAGGGGAGCCCCATCAGTTTGAACAGAGGGTGATCAGGGATGAGAAAATCAAAGCCGACCTGAAAGCAGAGCCATTAGAAGAAGGACAAATCCAGAGTAGCCGGAGAAAACCCATGCATGCACGGAGAGAACATGCAAACTCCACCCAGAAAGGCCCCTGGACAGGGATTTGAACCAGGGTAACCTACTCGTTGAGAGGCAGCAGCTCTACCAACTGTGCCACCGTGCTGCCCTAGTGTTAACATATTATTTTTATATATGAATGTTTCTGTTCAGTGCCCTGAGATGACTTCTGTTGTGACTTAGCGATATATAAATAAACCAAATTGAACTTAATTGTATTAACATTAATTAAGACTGCAGATAATTGCATTAGAATCAAATGGAAAGCCTTTAATATAATTAAAATAATTTGATTGTATTGAACTGGACGTAAAGCTAATTCTAACAGTTTTGAATTGAATGAGGATTTCTGGAAAGAAGTGAACAGAACCTTACATGATTACATTCATAATACAATGTAAATAATCATATGCCACTGTAATGACTTTGATTAGGTCAGAGACAGATTCTTTATTGTTGTTCGCATGTGGTGGAGCGAAATTATGTACACAGGGTCCCAGTTACATCCAACAATAAAATGTAAAAGAAAAACAATGATAACATCTAAGATATGAACTAAGCAAAAACATAAACTAAAAATACACTAATCATGAATAGCATAAAAACATTACGTCGAACAGCAGCACGAACATGAGCATGAGTCTGCGAGCAGATGAGCACGCATGAACACATCAACATGAAACAGATCAGCAGCAACATGATGTGATTTTTTTCACTGTGATTATTCTGGTAGTTCATGAGTCTAATAACCTCAGGATAGAAGCTGTTCCTCAGTCTAGTGGTTCTACACATAATGCTCCTCAACCTCCTTCCTGAGGGGAGCGGGGCAAAAAGTGTGTGTGCTGGGTGAGTGGGGTCCTTCATGATGCAGGTGGCTCTCTTCCTGCATCTGGAGGTGTAAATGTCTGTGATGGTGGGGAGACTGACTCCAACAAACTTCTGTGCAGCCTTCACCACTCTCTGCAAAGCTTTTCTTTCTGCAGCTGTGCAGACTCCATGCCACACATTGATGCTGGAGCACAGGATGCTCTCCACTGCACACCTGTAGAAGGAGGTGAGGACTGAGCTTCCCAGACCAGCTCGTCTCAGCCGCCTGAGGAAGTAGAGTCTCTGATGAGCTTTCTTTATCAGGCTGGTGGTGTTGTTGCCCCAGCTGAGGTTGTCATTCATGTGTACACCCAACCCAAGTACTTGTAGCTGGAGACCACTTCCACTGCAGATCCTCTTATGTTCAAGGGGGTGTAGGTGTGTTTGTTCCTTCTGAAGTCCACAATCATCTCTTTTGTCTTCTTCACATTAGGCATATATAATATTTTGAATATTTTAAATCTAACTACAAACTGGATTCCAAAATAGTTGGGACACTAAACAAATTGTGAATAAAAACTGAATGCAATGATGTGGAGATGGCAAATGTCAATATTTTATTCGTAACATTACATAGATGACAGATCAAAAGTTTAATCTGAGTAAATGTAACATTTTAAAGGAAAAATATGTTGATTCAAAATTTCACAGTGTCAACAAATCCCAAAAAAGTTGGGACAAGTAGCAATAAGTGGCTGGAAAAAAGGAATTTGAGCATATAACAAAGAGCTGGAAGACCAATTAACACTAATTAGGTCAAATGACAACATGATTGGGTATAAAAAGAGCTTCTCAGAGTGTCAGTGTCTCTCAGAAGCCAAGATGGTAAGAGGATCACCAATTCCACCATTGTTGCACAGAAAGATAGTGCAGCAATACCAGAATGGTGTTACCCAGCGTAAAATAGCAAAGACCTTTAAGTTATCATCATCAACTGTGCATAACATCATCAAAAGATTCAGAGAATCTGGAACAATCGCTGTGCGTAAGGGTCAAGGCCGTAAAACTCTACTGGATGCTCATGATCTCCGGGCCCTTAAATGTCACTGCACCTCAAACAGGAATGCCACTGTCAAGGAAATAACAGAATGGGCTCAGGAATACTTCCAGAAAGCATTGTCAGTGAACACAATCCACCGTGCCATCCGCCGTTGCCAGCTGAAACTCTTCAGTGCAAAGAGGAAGCCATTTCTAAGCAAGCTCAGATGTTTGCACTGGGCCAGGGGCCATTTAAAATGGAGTGTGGCAAAATGGAAGACTGTTCTGTGTTCATATGAGTCACGATTTTTGAAGTTCTTTATGGAACACTGGGACGCCATGTTTTCCGGACCAGAGGACAAGGATAGCCCAAGTTGTTATCAACACTCCGTTCAGAAGCCTGCATCACTGATGGTATGTGGTTGCATGAGCGCTTGTGGCATGGGCAGCTTGCATGTCTGGAAAGGCACCATTAATGCAGAGAACTATGTTCAGGTTCTAGAACAACATATGCTCCCATCTAGACGTCATCTCTTTCAGGGAAGACCCTGCATTTTTCAACACTTTAATGCCAGACCACATTCTGCAGCAATCACAACATCATGGCTATGTAGGAGAAGGATCTGGGTACTGAAATGGCCAGCCTGCTGTCCGGATCTTTCACCTATAGAGAACATTTGGTGCATCATAAAGAGGAAGGTGCGACAAAGAAGGCCCAAGACGATTGAACAGTTAGAGGCCTGTATTAGACATGAATGGGAGAGCATTCCTATTTCTAAACTTGAGAAACTGGTCTCCTCTGTCCCCAGATGTCTGTTGAGTGTTGTAAGAAAAAGGGGGGATGCCACACAGTAGTAAAAATGGACTTGTCCCAACTTTTTTGGATTTGTTGACGCCATGAAATTTGGAAACAACAGATATTTCTCTTAAAATTATACATTCTCTCAGTTTAAACTATTGATCTGTGATGTGTGTTCTATTCTGAATAAAATATTAGATGTTGGCACCTCCACATCATTGCATTCAGTTTTTATTCACAATTTGTTTAGTGTCCCAACTTTTTTGGCAAACGGGTTGTATTTTCAACCATAATCAAATAATTTTAAAATGTGTTTTGATGGACCAAATGGCTTTTTAAACACTGCCATCTGATGCTGTAAGCCATGCTCTTCCCTGCTACAACAGTCCCCAATCTCCCTCAGGAGGCCTCTTCTATACAGAATGTAGTTACTGGCATACTTCTTCCTCCACTCTTAACTATCACCCCATTACCATCCCTCTTTAGAAAATAGGTGTTGAGTATAGACATCCTCTTGGTAAAATAAACCACCATTTGTTATTCCTGCTTCCTTTCCTTGTTTCAAAACCTGTCCATCACATCTACATGTCTTCATTTACTTTCACCAACATGTCCAGGCAGGTCTGCTCTGATCACCATTCTCTCCTCTCTGGGAATACTCTCAATCACTTCATCTAGATGCTTTCAAATTTTCTCTTTCTCCTCTACATCAGGTTCAACCCGTGGATCATAGCCACTGACGGCTTTCAACATTCAACCTCTACATTCAAAGAAGGAATACAAATCCGTTTAGAGAATCTGACACAGCTTTGTTAGATATGTGCATTGTTCATCCACGCTGCTAGGAGATGCTCATGTTTATTTTTCAGTGTACAATATGTGGTGTGCAAGAGTAAAAATTTGTATTTGCAAGCAGTATCCTGTTCCTGATGGCCAGGTTATGAATAAATGTTTTTATATAGCATTTCATTGTGGTTCAGAGTGTTAATTTGATTCCACTCAAGTTACCACAATAACAACATTAATTGAATCTACATTTCCTGCACTTTAGTTAAAATCATAGCCAGAAACTGTGATAGTTCAATGGTTAAGTGCCACACCCTTGCAATCCTGGAGCAGCAGATTTGAGCCCATGTTGCTTCATGAAGGGCTTTTGGCTTAAAACAATTCCCATATCTGCCTGTTTACACACCGTGGCAACCCCTGAAGAAGGGAACAAACGAAATATGCCAAAAAAGTAGTCAAACTCATAGTACACCTTTGTAGATCTCTCCAAATTGTTTTTTTACTTTGATGTTCAGACTATTTTGTCAGTAAAATGCAAAAATAACAAAATACCTTCAAATTATAAATGAACAAAACGGGCATAGGAAATAAAAGGTATTGAAGCAAACACACACACATAAGCAGTGTACTGATAATTTAATCAATACGTCTGTAATTGAAGAAACAAACAAAAAAGAGTTGCTGGCAGGTGTGGTCACATCTCTTCAGCCAACACTTCGCGCATCTCACCATCAGCGTTCATGACGGTGAGGGAAGAACTGTCCTCTACCTCAAAATCATGACCCATCTGAAACAGATAAAACAAAAACAATCCATGTGCTTTTAGAATCAATAGGCAGAGAGTAAATGAGGATGATTACCATCTTATTCAAATCTTACCTGATGTCTACACCCGATAATGCAGCATATTTTACTATATCTGCATGGTGTTGAGGATCACTCAGCTATTACCACACAAAAAATATTTTCAGTATTTGTAAAACTGACTGAGTTTGAGTTGTTTTTGTTTTTAATGAAGTTGCTTAGCTGTGGCAGTCAACTTGAATGAGGTTAACTCCAAAACTTAATCAACTGTAGAAGTACATCCAATGATTATTTCATAATTAATTTTAGAAGCTGTAGTGGTTCCTGACATCCCTTTCCCTTAAGCAGTGGGTGATAGAAACAGACTCCTCTCAAAACTCACATGTTGTCAGAAAACATTAAAAAATCCAGATTTAATAAAGGAGCCATTAATAAGTATGTTAAATATATTTAGGTGATAAAAAAGTTATAAAAAAGTTGTGTTCAGAATGTTCAAAAACTGTGTGAAATGCTGAGAAAAAAGATAGAAAAATGAAATTTTTGAACGTTTTTTTTAATTTTCTGAACACAATTTTTACAATGTTTGCTTCACCTAAATATATTTAACATACTTATTTATGACTATTTTATTAAATCCGGATTTTTTAATGTTTTCTGTCAACGTGAGTTTTGAGGGGAGTCTGTTTTTATCACCCACTGCTTAAGTGAAAGGGCTGTCAGGAACCACTACAGCTTCTAAAATTACTTATGAAATAATCATTGGATGTACTTCTACAGTTGATTAAGTTTTGGAGTGAATTTCATTCAAGTTGACTGCCACAGCTAAGTAACTTCATTAAAAACAAAAACGATGCAAACTCAAGTCAGTTTTACAAATACTGAATTAAATTTTGGTGATAATAGCTGAGTATGATCACCAACACATTCTTAAACTATAATATTTGTTTTGATATATTAATTAGACATTTGGGCATTAACAGTTGACTCTGTCTGTTAGTGAATTATCTCATGAGTCTCAGCGAACACCATGTTATACTACTAGCACTCCAACATGAATCCAAACAGTAGATGGAAACACATCTGTCTCTGAGATGAATTGTGGGTAAAAAACTAATCTCCATCAGCAAACATACAGTAGAAGTCAATTTATTGTAAAACTAAATTTTGATTTCAGAAATTCTATTTCAATCCATCCTAGGACCCATCAGATTCATCTTGAAGACATTTTAATGGTTTTGACATGACACAGTGAAGCTTTTGTCAGATGACATTCACATTATTCAGCTAAACCAGTAGGACATTCAGTGTCTGCTGGTTTATTTCTACATTATGTAACATTTCATAGAAACATGACTTACAGACGCAGCGATGCCAGCAGCACATCCACCCGCGACGGCATTGCCAGTCATAGTTGCAACGTCTCCCTCCCCCGCCAGATGAAGAGTCGCTTGGACACCTCCCTGGTTTTAGAGAAGTGGTGACTTAATGTTAATGAGGGTGTCTTTCTAGATTATTAAAACAAACAAAAACAAACAAACAAACAAGAAACAGGTTAGAGATTAACACAAAAGAAAAAAATCCAACTTACCATCAGAGGGCTCAACCAGACAAGCTGCCATCAGCAGGACAACTATTATTATTAAACACTGTATCTTCATGTTGATTTATCAGAATCAGAAATGATCTCCTGAATGCCTGTGTAGATAAATATCCTGGTAAATAAACTGCAGTCTGAGCAGCCCAGAGAATGCTGGGTCCTTGTGTCTGCAGAGCTCCTTTTCAAAAGATATATAGTAGCAACAGACACACCCACATATTGACTGCCTTTTTCTGTTACATTTTCCAAATTCATTTAGTAACAAAAGGTTAAGGTTCAAATCAGGTTTGACAACTAATTTTGTAAGAGTTGCATTATTTTCTGTTGTTGTTGTATAGATATCTATATCTATCCATCTCTCTCTCTCTCTCTCTCTCTCTCTCTCTCTCTCTCTCT